TATTGTATCTCATATAGGAATCATCTGAGGATTTTAATTGAGATATTTAGATGTTATATGGAAGTTTTACAATGTGTTCTAACGTTGTTTCAACGTTTTCATTATTCATATATAACGTTGTTTAGATTTTATGTTCTATATGGGAAAATATTGACCAATTACAGTCAAATATGAGAAGAATAATCGACTATGATTGGTTAATTATGGCTTAATACATCTATTGTATTCAGGGACTTATGGTTTAAGGCTTAAAGTTTAAATAATAATTTATTTAAGTAACAATTTAAAATGTGTAAAACGACGCAAGCATATACAATCTAAATTGACCAATCACAGTCGAATGTGAAGAGAATAATCGATAGGTAAATTTCTTACTGCTTAAAGTTTAAGTTTAAGATTTACGCTTTAAAATCTCATTGTAAACGCTGCTTAATTGAAATTTCTTCCAATCATTGAAATGATCGTACAGCATATCGAGAAAATAGAATAAAATAGCATATTTGAGAAAAATAGGAGATTATCTGATTATGAATATCAATCTAAAATTCTTATGAACAGTATTACAAATAATAGTATTACAAATATTATATATGATATAATTGCTAAAAATAAAGATTAATCTCATAATACATAATTTATTTCATAAGTAGTGTTCATATACTCATACTAGTATTGACGAAAATATATCGCAAATAAAAATTAACGATATTACCAAGATGAAATTTGATCCAATAGAAAATTATAAAATAAAAATGTCAACTTAAAAAATTATAATAATACTATAATCGCTGTAGATATATTTTGAAATTGAAGAATCATGAATTTTATTATCTTGAAAAAAGAGAGACATATGTGTATTCTATATTCAAACTGAAAATGTTTATTTGTTATTTATATCTCTTTATATTACTTAATCCTTTTTTAAAAAATCATAAAATATATTAATTACATATGTGTCGTAATGCATGCGAATTTTTAAAACTTTTTCTAAAAAGTATAATATTGCTTTAGCACTAAATTCTCAAAAAATTTAGATCACATCGACTATTAATTACTTGTTTAATAAAATAAAAAAGATGATAGATATCAATTTGAAATAGAACTATTAAATATGTTATATCTACGCTATTTTACGCTTCTTACAAGCGAAAAAAAAAGATTAAATTTACATTGAGAGATATACATGATCGTGTTTCGTACAAAGTTACGCGCAACGGAACAGCAAGGCGGACTATACATCTATCCACACTACTGCGTTTCTTTTTCTATCTGCTTTCAATACTCATAAAAATGATATTCAACCGATTTCGATTCCAATATATACTTTTGCTGTTTATAAACAGCAAAATTATTGCAAATATCGCTATCTAATACGTCAATCATTTGTTCCCGCAGAGCCATCCGTTTCCGTGAAAACGGAGTCTGGCCTCCTTGAGACGATCTGCGCTGGCTGCGGCCGCACCATCGCCGACAAGTACGTGATGCGAGTCGCCGAGAGGAATTATCACGAGGAGTGTCTCTCGTGCACGGCATGTGGCGCGATGCTGTCGCACTCGTGTTTCATACGTGATCTCAAGCTCTACTGCCGTTCCGATTACGAGAGGATCTTCGGAGTGAAGTGCGCGCGATGCATGGAGAAGATCAGCTGCTCGGATCTGGTGATGCGGCCGGTATCCGGCTTGATCTTCCACGTGGAATGTTTCGCGTGTTGCATGTGCGGACAGCCGTTGCCACGGGGCGCACACTACATCCTTAGACAGGGCCAGCCGATCTGCAGACGAGACTTCGAACACGAACTGTTTCTAAATAGTCCACAAGGTGAGTATCGCCTGTTTTATTGTATTTTATAGACGTGCGTGTATGCATAATTGCGCCCCATCTGGGTTAAGTTTCGAGTTTTCGCTCGATTCAACCGTTTTGAAATAGCCTTAGACTTAATTCCGGTTATCGTTCTCCTCAGACGTACATGAATAGATTGTGTGTGTGGGTTTTTATTATATATATTTCATAAACATTTATATAAGTGAGAAAAAAGGGATTGATTTAAAGTAGAAAATACTGGGACAATTTTAATTTTAAGTAATAGGAAAGTAATTTGAAGTGATCTCTTTGTTGTTAAAAGCATAAATTATAAATAGTTTTTTGATATAAATTTGATTTGTGGTACATTAATAAGATATATACAAATAGCAGCGTAAATAAGGAATATTCAATATTATAGCCTAATAGAAATTGTACTCTCATTGAAGGGAGATAGTAGTTTACATTAAAAATAGTTGTTTATCGAGAATTTAAAAAAAAAAAAATAATAAATCAAATAAAATAGTGTATTAAATATAATACATTATTATCTATATTAAAAAAATTTTTTTATACAAATTTATTATGAATAATGGTTGCAACAGCTAATCGGGGCGAACCTCGCTCATCAAAACGTATGGTGGTCATTGTATAAGCATTTCATAAGATATTCTGAAAGCAAAAGTGTTTTGCGAATCTTAAAGAGCAAATTTAAATCTTGTCTTCCTATAGAACTGTTTTTGTTTTATGTATTTTTTTTTATTGGCAGAAGTAAGAAAGATTTTTGCTTGAGACTATGTTTGTCAATAAAAAACTAGATGTTTTTAAAAAACATTCTACATGGAAAATAAGATTAAATAATGAAAAAAAAGTTATGAAATTTTAACCAGATCAATCAAACAATTTTAATATCATGAATATTGATTTTGAAAATACTGTTTTGAAAAAAAACATGTTTAAATTTTTGACTATAAATATCTTAAACAATTAGTACTTATTATTTCTGGTATATCATATCATAGCTCGTTTTTTTTTCTTTTCAAAAAGAAATGAAGAATGATTTTTATTTTAAAACATATTTTCTAGCAATATTAAACTAGGAATCTCATAGGATATTTCTAGGATTTAACGGAAGTCATATTAATGTATTACAACGAAGTCTCGCAACATATAAAATTCTATAGTTTTGTTAATTTCTACTGGATTTGATTTACATATATAAACTTATTTAATAAAAAAAAACGAAAAATTGATTTTTTTTCTAATTTTCAACCTATTATCTTCTTTTAAAAAACTCAATATATGTATTGACGATGTATGCACGACGTAATAATTATTTTTCTCGTACAACAGAATCACTGTTCTTACGTGAAATATGTTATCGTGAATGAATACTGGCATGAATGAAAGTGTGTAATGTGCGTATCATGTTGCATGAAATGACTTTCCATAACATTTATTTCTATATGAAATCACAATCTCTATTTTCATCCTCTCGTTGAATAGAAGCATTAACCGATATTACAATTGAGTGAAAGGCTTATTGTTATAGTTAAATAATAAGTAATATCTCGGCGTAATTTACTCGTGCAGAATAAACTGAAAGGATGAGATCTAACGTTTCTTACACACACACACACACAACACACACACACACACACACACACACACACACACATATATATATATATATATATATATATATACATATATTGTTTTCTGTGACAAACAAACTGCTCATTATCTTTCGTATCGTCTTGTTTCGATTTAAACGCGTATCAATCGACGTGCCGTTTCCAACGTCAAATTATAATGAATTGGGAATTGAGATTGGCGAGCGATACGAGCTTTTGGCCGCGAAATAATTTCACAAAGCTTCCCCTGGACCATTACCGCGGAATGCTTGAAAATACACCGAATAACATTAAAATGAAAAACCGTTGAGAAACGCATTGTACATACCTTGTTGCATTGTTCGCAGGTTGTACTACAATCTAAAGACATCCAAAGTAAAAATCTACAGGAATTTCGAAACAGGGCTGTTCCTTTTCAAGGTAATTACATTTAAATCAAGCGATAAATGATCGAAAGCTATATCGTGTGGACGCGTGTTTCGACATCCTGAAACTAGACATCGTTGAATTCGCCAAGCCTTTCTCGCATATAATCAAAATATCATGATAATATATAATACAATATATCTTGCTACCAAAAGAGATGTGGAATTTATTCCATGGCGTTTATCCGACCGACATCTCGACATAAATTTATAGCACGCGTTTCGAGATATTTTATGTGTTATCGATGACGATAGAAAATGATAAAAGAGCAGTTTGTGAGCCACCATTTCTATGTATATTCCTTTCTCTCTCTCTCTTTCTCTCTCTCTCTCTCTCTCTCTCTCTCTCTCTCTCTCTCTCTCTCTCTCTCTCTCTCTCTCTCTCTCTCTCTCTATAACGCATATGAAACATGAATTCAAGAAATCGCACATTAACAGGGAAACATTGAAAAAGATTTCGATAAAAATTTAAAAATAAATCTAAAAATTTTCACGAGGCAATGAAGCATTGGAAATAAATTTTTTAAAATTATATCAGTATCGTGCAAATATTTCTGCCGCGTCGGTTTTAATTGTTCATCGCGCTTTTATTAACAATGAATGATCCGCGATTTACCAGCGATCTCGCTCAATGATTTGATCGACAATTCCACTGTTCGCCCCGTATTCCCACGGAGCGAAACAATTTTTAACAATGGAATTCCCAGAGTTCTTGAAATATTCGTGCGGAAAATGGAATCCGCCGCGCGCGTATAGCCGGTGCGTTTGTTCGCGGCCGACATGTTGCCGCGCCACGGTACATATGTTGCACGGTAGGCGTGGCCTGTGCTTTGTCGGATCACTGTCTGATCGAAACCATCCGTATCTACTGCTCGACTTCGACCACTGCCTTTTGCGTCTCACGATCAATCCATCGCACGGAGGTCACGAAATTCGAAACGCAAACACTATTTCCATGATAATAATTTATTCGCTCTTATATTATTCTCCATCCTCTTTTGTCGTTTAATGTTTTCGTGCAATAAGTTTCATGTCATAATTTAATAATAGACAGCTATTCTTTTTAGCTGAACTTCTTACGCAATTCTCTGTTTTCTCTCCAACGTGGAAGGAAAAAGATGAATTGTGCAAGAAATTCGACTAAAAGGAACAAGCCTTTCATTAATTTTTGTAAAAACAGATGTTTTGTCAAAATAAATTTTAAAAAATATTTATATATAATATATGATAAAAAATAACAGAATATGTGTATGAATATGTTTCGGCGATATTAAAAATTATAAATAAATAAGAAATTAATATTTCCTAAAAAAAAAAATAAATAAATAAAGATAACTAGGCGAATAACGCTCGCCCGCTTCCTATTAATTCAATTTCCTTATTTGTTATTAAAAATTATAAAAAGAAACGTATTATTTTGTTCACATTATTTAATTATATTGATATTTTTTATTTATTTATTTGTTTGTTGCTGTGTGCGTGAATGTGTGGAGTGTTGGTATTGAAAAGTAGACACTTGAAATAGTTGAAATAAATAAAAGATTGACACGAAATAAGAGGAGAGCGATGCTGTACATGTAAAATATTTATAAATATTTATAAATATAAATGGATAAATATAAATGGTATTGCCAGATGATGACTTATTGGACGAGAATCGACCACGGGATGGCCGTCGGGGTCCGAAACGGCCGCGGACGATTCTTACGTCGGCACAGCGACGTCAATTCAAGGCGTCTTTTGAGGTGTCTCCGAAGCCTTGCAGGAAAGTTCGCGAAGCACTCGCTAAGGACACTGGCCTTAGCGTGCGCGTGGTTCAAGTGTGGTTCCAAAATCAGCGCGCGAAGATGAAGAAACTTCAGCGGAAGGCCAAAACGGAGCCCGGATCCGATAAAGAGCCAAAGGAGGAGCGAAGGACGGAAAGTCCACACAGCGATCACAGTAAGTGGCCTTTTTCATCTTATTAGCTCAGAACTCTATCGAGAATTCAAGTGCTATTTTTTTAATCTATGCATGACTATTCCTGAATTCCTGATCCTGAAATACTTTTTTGAATTTGAACGTGAAATTTCAAAAACGTTATTGTTTCTATACACTACTTTCATTTTCTGATTAATAAATTTTAATGCGATTTTCGTCATATTTTATCACATTCGAGTTATTTATTTTTTAAAAATCAAGTATAGTCTCGAGAATCGAGGAAAAACACGCGAATTGATGAACTTCGCGAATTTGCGAAGACTGGTTAATGGGGCTTTTTTTGTAAACGAATGAGTTCAATGTCAATTGTCTAATCTCGTTCGCAGGTCATTACTTGAACGCCCTGAACATGCGCGATGGGGAATCTTCTAGCTTCCCCTCAGCCACCCAACCGCTCAACCCCAATAACCCGTACTCGCCCGACGGTAAGTCTTTACTCACCGTAGAAACTCATTTGCGCATCGGTGTCACAGACGGTATATGCGTAACGCGTTTGTGTCTCGACAGTTGTTTACAAAGTATCCTAGAACGTGTGTGATATTTTTGAGAGCAGACATTCTGCGGTTGATTCATAATAGACTCTTACTTTACTAATTTTTTATGAAAACGTAAAAATTTATTAATTATAATTGGTACAATATTTTAATATTTATTATTAAAAATGCTCTTTTAAATTCCTAAATTATCTTATTATAATAATTAACGTAAAAATAAAATTTAAAAATATAAATTAGTCGCTCAAATTTTTATTAACAAAAAATTAATTGCGGATTGTAATTGACATATATTTTCTTTATTACTTCTCGTATTTTTGGTGATTAATTACAACATAATGACAATGACAATAGTCAAAAGGTGAATGAATAAAATTGATCATTAAAAATATGAAATGAAAGCAGTGGAAATGTATGTCAATTGCATTCCGCTTTTTTTCTGATAAAAATTATTTTACGTTTTTTTGTTTATTTTTACATTTATAAAAAATTTAGGAACATAAATTGAATATATTAAAAATGCTGTAATAATTATACCTCGGTAACGTTTCTATAAAAAGTTTCTATTAGGCAACATTTTTTTACTTCAATTTTTTTTTTAATCAAAGATAGACGCTCGGATATATTTTTTAGAACATCCAACAATGTCATGCACCCACACTCAAAATTCGAACCGAATATTTTTAGTTTCTATATAGAGAACGACAATTCCTTTTTATATCTCGAGTCTGCAATTTTTAATAGTTTTTTCGATACAATCAAATCTGTTATTTAATATCCAGTTATTGGATATAAAGGAATTTATTCTATTTTTCTCATCCAGCAAAAGATATATAGTTTATTGTGTTAGATAATATTTTTCTAGTTTGTCTTAAAGTATGTTGAAAATAATTTTATTTCGTATTGTATGAAACATTTATCATAAAAATTAATAATTTGAACCATTAACACTTTAAAATAGGAAATTTATTTTGATAGTTAGGCTATTTTTCATAAATTAGACTTTTTATAAGTTGATAACTGATGAAACTATTAACGCTTTAAAATTGGAAATCGAATTTTGAAAGAAATCCAAATTTGAAATTTAGATCATTTTTAAGGTAAGCACCCTATATATAGAAATTATTTTTTTAGAAAACAATGACAAAGAAAAATATAAAGAAATAATTAATACGCCATATAAATAAATTCAGTGTCAAAGTATAGATAGAAATCGAGATTGATCGAAGTTTATGTCTCTTTATTCTCCCGCAATACATTCTGCATTGTCTGATTTTGTATTACATGCACAAAAAAGTGCGGGTAAAATTTCGAAATATTTTCATTGTTGCATACCATTCGACATACCAGCGTACATACAATATCTCAGAATACCATTGCACCTCGTTAAAGTGCCATGGTACTTTGCGAGAAATGAAGAAATGCATATCTTTTTTTTTCAGACGCGTACCCGGGCCACTCGGGAGAGAGCTTCTGTAGCAGCGATCTGTCCCTGGACGGTACGGACGGCGGCTTCGACATCGGCGAGAATGATGGCGGCGGCGCGGACGGTAGTCATCAGGGTGCTTCGCATTCCCACCATGGCTCATCATCGCACGATACCCCGTCGCTGTCGCAGAGTCTACATGCGGCCATCAACAATCCCATCGACAAACTGTTCATGATGCAAAGTAGTTACTTCAGTGGCGATCACGCGTAATCCAAGTTTCCCTCTTTCTTCCTCTCTCTATCTTCTTCCCTCTGTCACTGTCTCTCTCTGGAATTCGTCGCTTATTTCTCATCGCCTTCACTCTCTTTTGCGTCCTTTTACTCGATCTACAAAGCGACTTACTTTGTCAACGAGGAAGCCGACGTAATATTATTATTCAATTTTTAGCTTTAAAATGATTGCGATTAGTTTGTCGAATTTAGACTCTTTTTTTCTAGGCTAGCTGGTCGCTGCTAATCTGATCTGGCCGATGTTGTTGAAAATTTTATTTTACTTTTATTTTTAAGTGATTTTTTTTTCTAAATGATTTAATGTATTTCTAACTTTTGAATTTGCGATATCGATGGTTCTCCAAAAATATTTGCTTTTCTTTCTGTTTCAGATACAAAAATCTGTATTTATCCTCTGTGTGTAATAAATGCATATTCATAAAAACGTTACGAAGAAAAGTTATTAAAAGTTTTCCTTGTAATCACGTTTTTTACTCCAAAGAACTGACAAAAAACATCAAATGCATTAAAACATTGTGTTAATATAGATTTTATTCCTGAGAACATTTCACGCTTTCAACAGCATGATTGCAGAAAAATTATTACAATAAAAAACTTTTTCCTGTGCAAAATAAATAAACGGGTTAAAAATGTAAAGTAAAAGAAGATAAAATAGAAAAATGAATATGATAGAAGAAATAATTGAAACAATATTTGTAATTTTTTAAATAATTGGCATCTGTACGTATACATATATTACCTATATATTATATATATCTATACGTATATATCTATACATATTACC